CTCATTTTAGTTACAAATCAAAGTCTAACTTGAAGTGTGAAGTGACAGATGGTTACTCTGGAAAAGTGCAGCTGTTCACCTTCAGTCCTCAGTCCTCAGGTGAGAAAACAGGTGAGAATATGCTGAGCTGTTCAACAAAAAATAACAAAGAAGATGTTGTCCTCTTAGTTACAGAAGTTTAAACAAAACAAAAATCTACAGCCAGAAAGTTTAATGTTGTTATTGTGTTTGCAGGTTTGTGGCTCAAGGTGTTTGTGGGAGTTGCAGCTCTCTTAATAACTGTTGTTATTGTTGTTGCTCTCTTTAGATGGAAGAAAACTAAAGGTGAGAGCAACCACAGATATTATAAACAAGAAGTTTTGATGAACCTGGATTTTTATTGTTGAAGCTAAAGTCGACTCTCTTTTGTCTCTTCAGGAAAAAAACCCCAGATGGATGAAAACAGTGTGAGTTTTACGGCTGAGTAATCAAATGTTTCTACAGTTATGACAGAGCTGAATCAGCTGCTCTCTGACAGATTCATCCAAATCTAAACAGCCTTCACAGAGCCAGTGTTTGACCACATGGAAGTAGACTCTGTTTGTTTGTTGTTTTCAGGGACGGAGCTTAAACCCTGCAGTGAGTCCAGAAAGCAGTCAGGACACGGTGAGATCTCACACTACACCCAGGACAAAGTTACACTCACTGTTTTTAGATTTGTTGTTGAAAATGTAGCTCTATGAGACACACAGTGACTCTTGAATCTAAGTTCTTTCTGCAAGAGAAGAAGTGGGGAGTCTGATGATGCAGCTGGACGACACCAGAACAGACCAGAACACAATCAAGTCCACATGTTACTGAGCAGCCATTATGTTGTCTTCTCTGTGTAGGCTGATCCTGAAGATGGTGTTTCCTACGCCTCCATCAGCTACACCAGGAAGACCAACAGTAAAGGCCGGGTAAGCTGTCTGATTGGTTCTAGTGATGATGGCAGTGAATGAAAACACTTCTCTCATTTAATGTTGTGTAATTTCTGTGTTGTGCTGTTTGTCTCTTTTCCAGGTTCTGGGTAAAGATGGTGATGATGAAGATGATGCAGTGACCTACAGCAGCGTGAAAGCTTCCTCTTCTTCTGCTGGAGCCTCAGCTGATCCCAGCGACCTCTACGCCACCGTCAACAAACCAAACAAATAAGAGACCACAGTGTAGTTACAGCTCATATCATTACAGGTAATTTACACTGAGAACTGATAAATGTTTTATTATTTGAATTATTTTATGATAATATATGGGACATTTAGCTTGATGAACTTGCTGTCAGGCACTTTAATGTGCTAGTGCTGTGTTGTAGTTAAACATGTATTAGTTTTTACTGTTATTTCTGTATCAGCTGTTATTGTTTGATATGCAGTCATTTTAACATCTATATCTCTGTTCAGGTTATTTTTCATGTTCCTGTATGAAAGTAATTAAAGCAAACTAAGAGGAAGTGGGACAACGCTCATCGTGACTGAGTCACTTTTGAGAGTTGAATTAAACAGCTGAATGAGAGGAAAATGTGGAAACACACAAGGGTTAAATTTTCACTGGTGTTAATTCCAGATACTTCAGGTCAGTGTGAACTTCATACCTGCTCATGTCAGCCATAAGAGAAGGAGGTCTGTCTACATTTAAAACAACAAGTGACATATGAGAGGAAAAGAAAGGACAGTCACAATGAGGAAGTGACAAGTGACTAATTAGAGTAAGCAGATACAACATTTCTCTTTAAGAAGCAACTCTTTTTAGAGATTTACAAGTAGATAGAGAGAAAACAGAGAGAAAAGACAGACAGAGGCAATTTGGTTGAGTTCAGAAGGATTATAATGTATCTATTTCTATGCTGTTGCTTCAGTTTACAGGCCGTGATGAATATAATATGTCTGAACAGCCAGCTATTCTGTTGGCTATGTCAAGCTCAGGTTTGTTTTAGCTGCTGCACACTGGATTTTCGGTTAGTTCACATGTAAACAGATCTTTATAATAGCTGGCTGCATGTTTCCTAATCTCAGAAGAGTCTGAGATTGCAGAGAGTGAACAATCTTTCTCTGTCCATTTTTCCTCTCCAGACCAGAGAACAGAGAGGGGGCATCTATCTGTGTGACGTCGAGGAAGCGTGACCTCACCAGAGCTCCCTGTGCTGCAGTGCTGGGCGGGTTGGCCAGAGCTGACTTTTTAGATTTAGGGGCGTCTAAAAGTCCTCGATCTCCTGTAGAATCCACCAAACCCTGCAGTTGTACCACCTGTGCCTCCAGGTCCTTCATTGATCTGGTTACATTTCTAGTGACATTGCAAGTGAACTGCTGACACAGCAGCTTAATCTGTAATTTACCCAAATCCCACTACATAAAAATAGAGCAAACAACAAGAAAGTGATCTGAGAAGCCAACTGGGTTAATGTGACAGCTTTTAAAAATGTTCACGTGGTGCTTAATAGAGTACAGGCGATCCAGCCTGGCCAGAGAAAACACATTGGCTTTACACTGACTCCACGTGTTCTGTGATGTCAAAGACATTCAGTACAGCTAACTTATCTGCTCCACTGGTCGGTGCATAAACATGAACAAAACCAAGGTTAATGTTTTCAAATTGAGCTTTAACCCTCAATAATTTCCTCTACTTTATGGGAAGAAGGCAAAAAAACTCGGCTGACCATTTGCATGCAGCAAGCCCAGCTGACCAGTTGCCGGTTTCTAGCCCAGCATGTCTCTGGGCTGTGGGGTATTGGTACCTCATGTCTTTCACCGGAGCACTCCCTCCCTGCTTGTTTGCCCCTAAACTTAATATGCTGAGTTCAGTGGCCAGATTGCTTTGATAGCAGAAATTTTTTTTTTTTATAAATTGATAAGGGCTGGTGCTGAAATAGATCTCAGTCATGACAGCAACAGTACTCACATAACCACTTCCTCTGAAGTTATTGTGCCTCTAAAATAAAAGCGCAAGAAGGTCTTTTGCAGCAATGCTTCATGTCGAGTTTATTAGAGCTTTTATTTTGAAGGGTTCTAAAAGACAATTCAAAAGAGTCTCTGGCGTGCTTGACACACCTCTGAAAAAGTAAACATGTGATTGGAGTTCCCTAAATTTCCTCAAGGAAATGAAAATAAGTGCAGATAGGTTCATGAATGCGGATCAAACGCTGGAACGCGCACACACTGCAGCACATGCTTTATTGTGAGCATGTGCAAAAGTGTCCTTTTATTCAATTTGTTTAACAAGGGAGAAAAAAAATATCCAAAATAAGATGGAATGGGCCTCACAACCTGCCCATCAGGAGTACCGCACTCTACCGACTGAGCTAAACATGCACATGATTTGATGTGGTTTGACTTTGTTCTGGCCCACTATATAATGGCTTGGAAAAATTTGGCCTGATGCCAGACTTATTTTTTGCCGAGCAGGACAAACATGGACTATAAGTACAAGGCCGACCAGCTGGAAGGAGAATGGTAACAGGTACAAGGCCTGAAGAAAACCATGTGTTTTGATATTCTGCTGTTAACCACATCCTCACCAAAACACTTCCTCTTTAGATGTCTGGAAAAAAATAACTTAAAAGAAGAAGGTACAATGAGGAACCAGCAGATCTCAGAGCAGTAAAATCTCATCTTATCTGTGTTCTTCAGCAGCTGCTACAGTATCACCATATTGCACCATGGACATCAGGAGTCAGATTCTGGTGGGAGAGGAGTTTGACTCTTCACCTGTCTGTTCATGTGTGCTGTCAAACATCACCATGGATCCTGTCTGTTTTCTAATAAACACTATCTGAAAAATACAAGTTGCATCATTGCAAACATTTATCTTAAGTAACAATCTTCACAGCTTCAACTTCCTCTTCTTCTTCTTTTCGCTTGGTGAAACACGTCATTGTCACAAATAGACCTGAATGAACAAAGTGTGAACTCTGATGGCTGCATCTCATGTTGCTGATCAAGAATTTGGGGTCTCTGTCAGTCACTGTGGATGAGAGAAAACTACATTTCAAAAATGTAAAAGTGAAAATTGTTTTTGGCTGTTTGGACGTCGACAAGAAATTCTGAGGGACTGAAATCTAAAACAGACTAAAAGTCCCTATGAGGAAGTGACATCATCCTAACCACAGGAAGTAGCTGCAGCGTCTCTCTACTAAAGCACTAGTTTAGAAACTCAGACAGTTCTGAGCACGAGAACAAGAGACAGAAGAAGGAGAGACTCAGAGAATCATGATGGTTGAGTTCAAATGGATTTCTTTATTTCTTCCAGCGGTGCTTCAGTTTACAGGTAAGAATACATATATCACATATATAAATGGAAGGCACATTGTAAAAAATAACTTGATCAATATTATTAAAGATTCTTTATTAGCTACATTTGATTTAACTAAGAAAACCAAATCTGTTGTTTCTAATGTGGTGAGTTTAGTGAACTCTTGGAAACTAAGGATAAAGAAATAATCGTCACTAACTATGAACATAACAGACATTTTCTCATTTCACTTTATTTTTCATCATTTTCTCAACAGCAGCAGCTGAAAAACTTCCCCCCTCCTTCACTGTCAGAGTTGGAGATGAAGTCACTTTGCCTTGTGAAAATGTGAAAGACGGTCAGCAAAAATGTGAAAATACTACATGGCTCTTTGTTGGTTCAGGAAACAGATCAGCAGTAGAGCTGGTTAAACTTGGGCAGATTGTTGAAAACACCAAATCTAAATCAGACAGACTGAGTGTTACAGAGAACTGTTCTCTGTTTATAAAGAAGGTCAAAGTTGACGATGTTGGTTACTACACCTGCAGACAGTTCAAATCAGCAAAACCCAATTTTCAAGACTCTCATGTTCATCTGTCTGTTATTATCAGTGAGTATTTCCATCATAATGTTTTCAGCTCAAACTGTCTTGTTAGAACAATATACTGAAACATTACAATAATTATGATCACAGTGATGAAGTTAACTTTACTCTTGTTGTCTTTCTCTCACAATATCTCCATCTTCACCAGTGACTGAACATAAGGACGCTGATAAGGTGACGTTAACCTGCTCTGTGTTGACACATGAACGGCACTGTAGTCACACAGTGAAGTGGCTGTATGAGGGTAAAGATGTGGACAAAGACATGAAGACATCAGAGTCTTTTTGCAGCCCCACCAGAACCACCATGACTTCTCTGAATCTGTTTACATCGAGTTTTACTTATTTATATGTGCAGTGACTGATGGTACCAAAGTGCAGGAGTTTCCCTTCAGATTTCGACCCTCAGGTGAAAAACCAGGTGAGAATACGATGAACAGTTTAAAGTCACTTCAAAATGATGTGGATGATTACCAGAAATATTTGCTTTGTTTATGGATTTAAAGTTTTAATATTACAAAACAACACAAGTATCCTACTGAACAGTTGGATGAATTGTGTTAATCTATTTAGGTAAGGATAGAATAACAACAACAGAATCAACAATAACAGCTTCAATGGAAAACCGCATAAGAGCAGGTACCAACACTACTGCCTCTGCAATCAATGATTCTTCAACAGAACTACAAAGCAGTGAGTCAACATTTTGATGTGTCTGTTTCTACAACCTCTCTCTCTCTGACACTTGGCTGTGGGTGGAGATATTCAGTCAGACTCAGAAAGGGGGTTCAGTGAAAACTGTGAGAAAGTTGAGCCCGAGATGAAGGAAACTCTGGGTTTTCGGTTTCAGAGAGTGAGATCAGATAAACTGTGGAACCCCAGCAACTTACGCTGTGAACCTGCTCGGGAGGAGGTTTACTTCAACTAACGCTGAGTTTCTTTCGGACTCCTCCCCCTCTTGCGGAGCCTGAAGCAGCTGTCTGAGATTCCCTCATTCAGACTGTCAATATCAAAGCACATATTGGAACAAAATTACGTCTTTAGAACCATCAAAATTACAGTTAAATAGGCTGTTAGTTTTTTTTACCCTAACATGATCTTGAACATGACGCTTTTATGATCAATCTGTCATCGATGTATGGACAGACAGTTATCTTTGGACATCGTAAATTTATCCTCAGCGCAGAATAAAATCTATAAGCTGCGCTGTCCTTTATAACACAGTGACTCTGTGGACATTAAGGCAGCTGTCAGGTTGGCCACAGTTGCACAAAAACAATAACCTTTCATATTATAGTCGCACTGATTGAACATATCATAGTTATCAGCTGGATATGATGTGAATATTTCTGAGTGAGGATGACTGTGGTGCAGCTGAAAGAAATAAATGTAGTTTAAAAGTGAGTTTTTCATTATCTGCTGATAGTCTGAATGTGTTTTGACAGCATTTCATAAAATACAAAATGAGCAAGATTTTATTAACGTAACATAGACGTCTAAAACTTCACAGTCAGATTGAATCTAGACACATTTTCCACTGCAAGAAAAACCATTAATAAGCCTACTGAGTGAGACTGTCACTTTACAATCACAGGTCCATGAGGAACCTAAACTGTGTCTAATCTGTTTGATTAATATTTTCATCTTCAGTTATTTCCAGGCGCATTTAGTCCCGTCAGGTTACAGCTGAATAAACTGGCCTGTAGATATTTTAAATGAACAGCCCACAGGCAGAGGTGGGTGTAAAGGGGTGACGACCCAGGTCCCCAGCTAGGTGGGGGGCCCCCTGCATGGCTGCAAATGGCCTGTCCTTTGCTTGTAGACACAACTACACAAGAGAATTGCAGTGCAGCTGGTCTTATCAAATGAAACAGGCACTTCACTCAGAAAAAGAGCGTTTTGCCTGCCTGATTTTGCTGACATGTTTAGATTTTGTAGATTTAGTGATGAATGCTTGCTTTTTGAAATTCTACTAAGATTAAGTAGGCTATGTTGTTAAATTGTTTCTTTTCTGTCTGTTTCAATTGTGTTTATTGTTGACGATTGGGGGTCTGCGCAGGGTATTTTATTTTGAAAATGGCTGTGTATTCTCTCCAGAGAGGAGTGGAGAGGCACTTCTGGGGTGAGTTCAAGCTCAAAAAGTTTTGCTACATTTTGTAGGCAATGAACTCGCCCCTGGTTTGGGCACAAGCATTGACTAGAGTGGCTACGATCACCCTCAGCAGCCGCAACGGAGTTGGACTCAGTGGACTTTCTAACTTGGTATAAATGACTTTGTAGCAGATGAAGCTCCACTGTGCTTAGAGTCTAGCTCCGCCCCCGGAATATCCTAATAGGCTGTAGGAGAATTCCAGCACTTTATCATTCATTAGGAAATTCCAGGCTGGTAAATGATGAATGAGCAACGCTGTATAAAATATAATATTGTTAACGTACTGATCCTCCACTCCTACGTTTTAGAGCCTATATATATATATATGTGTATGTGTATATTTATATATAATCTAACCTCCTCTGGAGGAGGTTAGGTTCACAGCATCAGTTGCCGGAGTTACTGATCTAGGGTTTGTCTGATCGTGCTCTCTGAAACAGAAAACCCTGAGACATTCCCAGAGTTTTCCAGAGTTTCCCGCATCTCATGATTAACATACATCCCACTTTCTGAATTGTGGTGTGTTCACACAATACAACATAACAAATGAGATGTTGTCCCCTTTTATCCTCTTTCCAGCTTTTTGGTGGTTCATCATTGTGGGAGCTGCAGCACTCTTAATAACTGTTGTTATTGTTGTTGGACTCATCAGATGGAAGAAAACTAAAGGTGAGAGCAACCACAGATATTAAAAACAAGAAGTTTTGATGAACCTGGATTTTTATTGTTGAAGCTAAAGTCGTCTCTCTTTTGTCTCTTCAGGAAAAAAACCCAGATGGATGAAAACACTGTGAGTTTTACGGCTGAGTAATCAAATGTTTCTACAGTTATGACAGAGCTGAATCAGCTGCTCTCTGACAGAGTCATCCAAATCTAAACAGCCTTCACAGAGCCAGTGTTTGACCACATGGAAGTAGACTCTGTTTGTTTGTTGTTTTCAGGGACGGAGCTTAAACCCTGCAGTGAGTCCAGAAAGCAGTCAGGACACGGTGAGATCTCACACTACACCCAGGACAAAGTTACACTCACTGTTTTTAGATTTGTTGTTCAAAATGTAGCTCTATGAGACACACAGTGACTCTTGAATCTAAGTTCTTTCTGCAAGAGAAGAAGTGGGGAGTCTGATGATGCAGCTGGACGACACCAGAACAGACCAGAACACAATCAAGTCCACATGTTACTGAGCAGCCATTATGTTGTCTTCTCTGTGTAGGCTGATCCTGAAGATGGTGTTTCCTACGCCTCCATCAGCTACACCAGGAAGACCAACAGTAAAGGCCGGGTAAGCTGTCTGATTGGTTCTAGTGATGATGGCAGTGAATGAAAACACTTCTCTCATTTAATGTTGTGTATTTCTGTGTTGTGCTGTTTGTCTCTTTTCCAGGTTCTGGGTAAAGATGGTGATGATGAAGATGATGCAGTGACCTACAGCAGCGTGAAAGCTTCCTCTTCTTCTGCTGGAGCCTCAGCTGATCCCAGCGACCTCTACGCCACCGTCAACTAACCAAACAAATAAGAGACCACAGTGTAGTTACAGCTCATATCATTACAGGTAATTTACACTGAGAACTGATAAATGTTTTATTGTTTGAATTATTTTATGATAATATATGGGACATTTAGCTTGATGAACTTGCTGTCAGGCACTTTAATGTGCTAGTGCTGTGTTGTAGTTAAACATGTATTAGTTTTTACTGTTATTTCTGTATCAGCTGTTATTGTTTGATATGCAGTCATTTTAACATCTATATCTCTGTTCAGGTTATTTTTTATGTTCCTGTATGAAATTCCAGATACTTCAGGTCAGTGTGAACTTCATACCAACTCATTTCAGCCATTAGAGAAGGAGGTCTGTCTACATTTGAAGCAACAACTGACATATGAGAGGAAAAAGAAAGGACAGTCACTATGAGGAAGTGACACGTGACTAATTAGAGAAAACAGTTAAAACATTTCTCTTTAAGAAGTAGAAGAAGAAGACAGAAAAGAATGAGAAAGAGGCGCGATGGTTGAGTTCAGATGGATTAAAATGTCTTTATTTCTCATGCTGGTGCTTTAGTTTACATGTTAGGATTGACATTCTTAATTCTACTTTATTACCTAACCTTCATTTAACAAAAACAGCCAAGTCTGTTTGATTTCCAGCAAGGCAGATGTGAAGTCCTGCAGACTGAGGCTGAGGCACCTAATCAAACCTTTGTTGTCACATTGATATTAATAGAAACATTTTTGTAAATATATTTCTCTCTCATCAACTCAGCATCAGCAACCAGACAACTTCTCCTTCTCTTCCCTGTTAGAGTTGGAGATGAAGTCACTTTGTCTTGTGAAAATGTGATATACGATCAGGGTAACTGTGACAGTAGCCTACTACATGGCTCTTCAGTCATTCAAGAAACACAGCATCAGTAGACCAAAGGCCTTTACTACGAAGGGAACCTCAAGGAACCCCATAAGGGGAGAACTTTAGTCTTTCCAACCTCAGGTTATATAGTACCTATTTGATCCATTGGGATATATTTTGGACAATCTGTCTGGTTTGGACACCAGAAAGTACAGGAGCAGGGGCGGCTGTGGCTCAGGAGGTAGAGCGGGTTGGCCGTTAATCGGAAGGTCGGCAGTTCAATCCCTGGCTCCCCCTTGTTGCGTGTCGAAGTGTCCTTGGGCAAGATACTGAACTCCAATTTGCCCCTGGCAGTGTATGAATGAGTGTGAATGTTAGTTTCCGTTTGAGCACTTAGGCTCAGTGTATGACTGGTGGATGTAGTGTAAAAGCGCTTTGAGTGGTCGAAAAGACTAGAAAGGCGCTATACAAGTACGGAGCATTTACATTTACTACAACAGTCAGTCAGGACTGCAGAAAAATTAATCGGTGCCCCCCTGCCCTCCATTCAGGACATACATTTCCAGAGTCAGGAAACGGGCAGGAAACATCACTGCAGATCCATCTCACCCCGGACACAATCTGTTCCAGGTTATTCCCTCTGGTAGGTGCTACAGAGCACTGTATGCCAAAACCAACAGACTCAGGAACAGTTTCTTCCCACAATCACTCTGATGAACAGCTGATTTCTGATTCACAGTGTCAGGAACAATTCCTGTGCAATAATTCCTGTTTACTGGCTACCACTTACCATTTATTTATTCATCATTCTCCATTTCAAAGCTGTTCATATTGTCATATTGTATATTATATATACTGTATACCAAATCCACCTACCCTACCTCATGCACGTAACACCCAATCCACGGCAAAGTCTCTAAGGTGCATGATAATATAGTGACTGTGGGCTAAACTCACCTATTTCCTTTTCGCAAACCAACCAATCAAAACCTGGAGATGGAGGGACAGTAAAAAAAGGTTAAGGCACAAGCAAACTTGTTGAAATGTTGAACTCTGTGTGCACGGTTATTATTACTGAGAAGTTAGTACTTTGCATAAACATGGATTTTTCTTGCACAATAATTTAATGACTGAAGAAACCCACAAAAATTAAACTGCTGTTTTGGAATTAATATTTGTAATAATGGTAAGCTATAGTATTATCTGAAATTATAATGAATATACAAACACTAGCACTAATCAACCTTAACCACAATGGTGTAGGCTAATATCAGAAAATGGTTTTATTTGTGAAACAGCTGAATCTCAACTAATAAACTATCTGTAGGCAGATGATCTAAATAATGTGTAACATGTAAATATATTATTATACTAGTAATACCTACTTTTTATTTAAAGTATTATCATTTATACCTTCACTCCTCCAGGTTGTGGATATATTTTGGTTTTCAAATAGTCAGAAATAACAAGGAAATGCATAGCTCATGAGGTGACTTATTGCCTTTTCTGTACGTATACTGATCATACTGTCGTGCGAAGTATAGACAAAAGTGGTCATAGCACATTTTTATTGTTTTTATTGTGGGCCTACAAAACCTCTCAGCCCCAGGGCCGAACAGCAAGTTAATGCGGGCCTGGCTGTGGGTGGAGATATTCTCTTATTCAGTCAGTCTCAGTCAGTTGTTTTTGTGGCTGAAGGAGCTCCTGAGCTGCCTCAGCTCAGCATAGACAGGATGAGAGGGGTTGTTCATGATGGTTTTCAGCTTCCCCCTGATCCTCCTCTCAGTTGTGAGAGAAGTGGTCAAGAGGAACATTTTGTATTTGGAGTACCACATCAACAGGTCAGCTGATAAAAACATGTGACAGTTTGGTACTTTTAACTTATTTCTTAATTTCCTTCTGCGCGTCCTTCCTTACCACAGAAACACTTCCTCTCTCAGTGACAGAAACATGTAACAGTAGCTGACGGTGCGTTCAGGTGCTGTCAGGTTATTTCTTATCTCCTTGTGTTAAATGTGGGTCAATGATGTGAAAGTTGTCAGTTAAAGTGTGTCAGAGTGAGGGTTTGTTTGTGTTTCACAGGTGAATAATGATGAAGATGAAGATGATGGTGTGGTGAACTATGAAAACGATGGAGACCCTTCTGCCTCTGTCAGACTCCACTGATCAACAACTTCCATATCAACATCAGCTCATCAGAGAAAAGACTCCACTGCAGTTAAATAACAGCACATTTACACGAGTAGTTGAAGCCTTTAGAGAACAAAAATCTCATAAGATCCTTTTGGGTTTTTTATGACTGATTGTTTTTGTTTTTATTTATCAGTGTGAGAAATGTTTGTGTGTTTTGTGCTCAGCTGTTTCTGTTTCAGTCTGACTTTGAACAACAATATTCAAGTCTTGATTTCATCTCATATCAGGAAGCCCACTGTGAGTTTTATAAAATGTATTTTCCTGCATCAGTTGTGAAAATCTTTATTTTCTGCAGCCAGTTCAGAACACAGCAGCTGGATTTCAGCTTCATTTAACAGGAACGTTTAACTCTTGTTAACTTCCTTAAATCGTCTTCCAGCTGGAGAATTCTGACCTGATTTTAAGGTTCACTGTTTGCTTTTGAAGCTACAGCAGCCCGTTGTAAACTTTGTGCAACCAGCAAAAAGCTTTTAACCGCGAACATTTCTACATTGACTTTGTAACACTTTGTTGACACTGACTGTGTAACTGGCGCGATGCCGTGAACGCGGTCATTCTCCTACAGTTTATCAATAGACAGAGACTGATCTGACTGTTTGATCTGAGTTTCCTGAATAATATAACTGTTTCTTTAGCAGTAAACAGACAGCGACCTTTGCTGCTGTCTCTTATTCATTAAAAATAATCTATTAACTTCTACTGAACTAATTTTATAGAATCAATTATTTCACGTTGCACATTTAACTGTTGATGCTTGGTAAAAAAAAATGAATACAAAATAATTATTATAGAGAGGTGGCGATGGAGCAGTGGATTAGAAACTTGTCTTTGATTCCCACTGCAACACATCCACCAAATAAGTTGTTGTCATGGATCCTGCTTTACCATCCATGTTATAATAGAGTTTTATTGGGGTGTGGGGGGGTCTCAGTATATTTTCCTGCTTTTTTGCCCTTTGCCAATCACATGCTTGGTAAATACAGACAGTTTAAATGCACCTAATGTGACTTGAGAATGTACAAAAATCTAATAATTCAGGTTACTTCTTCTATGCTCTGGATGCACATGACCATCTACTCTGACCTGATGTTTATCTGGTCATCATTAGGGGGTAAAACCTGCAGAGCTCTGC